CCCCCCCCCCCAAGAAAAATTTAGCCTTTTTTTTTTTTTTTTTTTTTTTTTTTTTTTTTTTTTTAATTCACCCACCCAAAACATGCCAGCATGGAGCTAAGCAGCTTCTAGGACCCCTCGACTGGGACCAAAAGCCCCTGCTCCTGCCTGCTAGGGGCCACCCAGTCCCAGCACATGGGTCTAGTGGGTCGTGGCTGCCTCTCCCAGTGAGGCTTTCCAGTCACACAGGTCTGCTCACTATTTAAACTCCTTCCAGTTGGATTTTAACTTGATTTACAGCCTAAACGTGGGGGTCTAATTTCCCTTCTCTCCCCCACTCCACCCCAGAAGTAAAAACCTGCTGCACTTCTGCGCCTCAGGGCACAGTGTGATAAAATATCCTTAGCTAAAGCACTGCCAGGCTTGGAACCGCTGCAGACACCAGTTACTGTGACTAGCACAAGGCTGTTTGCCCTGCTTATTGCAGGCACTTTAAAGTAAACACTGCCTTAGCTTTAAAAACAGTGGTGATATAAAATACACACTTAAAGCTGAGCACATGCTCACAAGCTTTTAAAAGTTATGCCTCAGGATACTTATTAGATGTCTTCTCTCTTTGGGCATGAATAATGTTGATTTAGACAAGTAGCAATATGTGCTTATTTGTTAGAAGATGTTTTTCTGTGCCACAAGGAATAAAGGGGTTGAGGATCTGCAAATATCATTTCAGGGTATCTTTATTAGAAAAGGACTGGATAGAAGTACATGCACTGGCGCCTAGATGTGCTACATTTTTCAGTCTGCCTTTAAAATGTCAGCTTTATACCACTAAAGCATCCAAGAGGATTTTCACAGGAAACAGTTACTGATGGTGGGCTTTGAAAATCAGAGAGAAAATGGGCTTAGTAGTTGAGCAGACTGTCTTTTTAAAAGGAAAACATTCTCCAAATTTTCACAAGGTAGGGAAGGCACTACTTGGTTAGCATCTATCCCCTTTCCAGATATTTTCAATGTAATCAGAGGGAAAACTGCAGCCAGTCCTACTAGCTATATGCAGGTGCTGGATGGTTTTATGTGCTACTCCTTCTTCAGTGCTTCCCCAGGTTTCTATTAGCAAGTTCTGAGGGTTTGTCATCTGGTTTGGGTATCAAACACAGAAAATTGGAACCAGCTGAGCTGCCTCTAAATTGAAAACTGGTTGTAAAAAGACCAAGAACAAATAAGTTAGTATATGAGCTATTTGTATAACAAAAGAAACAGTAGTGATGGAAGTAGTTTATAGCTCACTATAAATATAAATGAGTGACCTAACATGACCCCAGGCACCAAGTTGCAGCATTTTAGGTGCAATTCCAAGTAACAGAAATCTGCAGGAGTTTGTTGGGACAAAACAAATTATACACCAGTGGGAGGAATTTATTTTCTGGGATATATGGATGTGGTTCCCATTACAGTTCAATGGGCAAATATCCACTTAATGTCAGGAGAAAATGTGGTGCTGGATCCTGGGATCAGTTTAGCTAAGGTGCCCTGCTAATACACTTGCAAACAGTTCATGTTTCCCAGCCAGGCCACAGCTGTGGGCTTCAGCTGTCCCTCATAGCATAACTTTTCTCAGATGACTTCATGTTTATCTAACACCTCTCCACTTGAGCTCATCAGAAACCTGAAAACTGTGTGAGATTGTTTCTGATTTTTATTTTTTGAAGGATATTGAAAACTGTTGCTAAGGAAGGTGAGGGGAGAAACCCAGTCTCTAGTTATGCTAAAAGGATATTTTACACAGATTGTTCCTAAAACTTTTATGAAAGTTCAATTCTAAAGCCTCAGTCCTCATCACCAGAGCTTCCTCTACAAAGCCAGGCAAGTCAGTTCAACCTTCCCCTTCTTCCTGTGCTGAGACACATCAGTCACCCATCATCCAGCTACCAGGGATGCCTCTGATCTGCCCTACAACTCTATCAGAAGTGTTATTTATTTCTGTTCTGCCTTCAGTCTCCACGGTTCATTGGTAGACGTCAAAGCCTCATTGAAGATGCCAGGAAGGAAAGAGAGGCTGCAGCTGGCGCCACCGGTGCCGCCACCCCCAGCCACTGATGCTGCAGAGTCTACAGAGACCATTGTCTTTGAGGAGAAGGATGGGAGAGCCATGCTGAACCTCTTCTTCATGCTCAAGGGAGCTAAGACTTCACCACTGTCCCGTGCACTTAAAGTATTTGAGGTGAGTACCTAACCTGTTGTATGGGACTCAAGGAACACACTACAGGTTTCATGGCTCTTCTGTGAGGAATATCACCTGAGTCTACTAAAGAAGACTCAGACTAGGTCTGCCTACTGCAAAGTATCAGTTAATTGGCTGATGTCCCCACAGTCATGCTTTGCTCATGCCCCAGCGTGCCCTCATTTTCCATCACTAAGAATGAGCCATACTTCTGTCTGGTAGTGCTGTTAAGCTCTGGGCTTAACTTTGCTTAATTACTCGATCCAACCACACAGTTTCAAACCTACAATCCACACCCTTGTGGCTTGTAGCATACTCTGACAGCCCCCTCCACTACTCAGCACTTCAACTTCATGCACAGAGCTCTGATCCAACATTCAAAGCAAGCCGTGTGCTCTGCATGGCTACAGATGGAACCTGCCTTACTTGTGGGTTCAGGTTTTGGCAGTCTCTGAATGGCATTGCCACATTGGTCCTTGGTCAAAGAGTTACAGGAACAGCTTCACCCTGGGTGTAAAACTGTTACATTGATTTCAAAATTACCTCCCTACTTCAGGGATGATTTTGATTCACATGTTAAAGGCTCTGTTGGTTCGCCCCAGAGATGCTCCCTGTATATAGCTTTAATACCAGGGAAAACTGGTAACTGATTGAGCTTTTACCCCCTAGCCAGCAATATAATGTTGCATTATCTAAGATCTCAGTACCATGAATGGAAAGACTGAGATAAATGCTGCCTATTTAAACAGTAATCAAAACATGACAACTTGCATTTATGTAGTACATTTTCATCCAGAAGGATTCAAAAGTGTTTTGCAAACTGAGGTTCTGAGATATGTTTTATCTACCTAGTTTAATTTAATTGACTTCAGCAGTGAGAGGAAAGGACAATTTTTTCCTATTAATCAGCCACGTGGGTTGTAAGGGGCCTTGGGAGGTCTCTAGTCCAACCTCCTGTTCAGTGCAGGTCCAGTCACAGCAGGTTGCTCAGGCTGTGCTTGTTGCATTTTGAGTATCACCAAGGTAGAGTTCCCACAGTCTCCTTGGACCCCTTGAGCAGAGTTTGACTGCCTTCATGGTAAAAAGCTTTTTCTCTTTTCTTTTTTTTTTTAATGCCCTTCCGGCTTCGAACTTGTTCCCATTGCTTCTTGTCCTTCCACTGTGTACTTTTCAGACAAGTCTGGCTCTGTCTTCTTTACACCCTCCCACCAGGTACTAGCAGACAGTGAACCAATCTCCCCTGCCCCTTCACTTCTTGAAGCTGAACAACTCCGATTCCCTCAGTCTTTCTTCACATAACATTGTGCTCCAGCCCACGAGCATGTTGGCAGCCCTCCATTATACCTGCTACAGCACATCAATGTCTTTCTTCTTTGGGACACGGTACTCCAGATGTGGTCTCTCTCATTCCAGACAGAGAGGAGGAATCACTTCCTTTGACCTGTTGTCTACAGTCTTGCTACTACAATTCAGTATGTGGTTGGCCTTTCTTGTCACAAGGGCATGTTGCTAGCTCATATATTAATACACGTGATAATTATATAACACCTTCTTTCCCATGAAATGCAACCACTCAGATCACCAGCAACACTATACAGCAAACCCACTACCTCACAGCTGTAAACATACAAAAAGTGTGTTTAGGAGATAGGTATTTCCCTGAAATTGTAGGGCATTCTAGCTATTCATTGCCCATGCAGTTCTATCTCATAATCTTATGAAAAGTGTTCAGGATCTTCAGCAATTACAAAACATCTTGCATCTCCACTAAGAGGACTGTTGTGAGAAAAGATGTTTTCTGGGCAACATATGGTTCTTGTCTCAAGACTGAAAGAATCTCTAAGACAAGCTTGTCAGATTAAGACCTTGGTGTTGCCATGGTTGGGGTGTCCTTCCTAGAAGTGCACAACTGCCAGATAAGGCATGAACAATCCATCAGTGTAACATTTCAAATGCAACAGGCTGCTTAGCGGGTATGAAACATAGAAGTGTAGGCTCTTGTACTTGGTGGATTTTATGTTACACTGCATTTAAAGTCTATAATTTAAACAATTTTTAAAACATCAAGCAAGAAGCAGGGGCAGCTTATGTTCAAATATTATTTGTTTCTTCCTGGAGCAATTTACTTGCTGAATCAAAAGCTTTCCTAGTAAAAAAGCTCTTTGAGCTTGTCGCAGAGAGAGCTTTAAATATAATAAAAAGACAAGCACATCAAGCCACAACAGAGGAAGATTCATTTCCCAGATCCCTCTGGCAATGCAGGTACAAGATATGAAAGCAGACAGGCATAATGACATTTGCCTCATCATGAACCAGGCTGCAGGGAAGCTGGTTTCACTCTTCTGTATGTGTTACATGCAGCCAAAGCATAGGTAATGCAATCACAGCTGTCAGATTAATGCAAAGGTATTGATTGTTGAAGGGACAATGTAATAGTGAAGTTGGTAGGTACGTTAAAAAACATGGTCCTAAATTTAATTTACCTGTGGCATCGCATCTGTTCCTTCTCATCTTTCTGCCTCTGATTAACAAAAGAAATCATGTCCCTTCCTCTACCAAAGATCTTGCAGAGACTTTGGAAAGGTTGGGTCATTGCCCAGGGACTTGGGCTTGTACTGCCAGTTTCCACTGAGCCAAAGAAAATATCCACAAATCTACCAGGGACCTTTGGAAGACTATAGATTCTATTTTGTTGCCTTCTCATTCTTTGGGGGAGGTCGGTTCTGATAATGGGCCCAAATGATATCAGTTCTGATAGGGAGCCCCAAATTAACGCTACTGCAGCTCGGCCCCCCCGGTTCAGCCCCATGGCCAGCGCCGCGCCGCCTGCCCGCGCCCGCCCCTTCAACGTCATCGCCAACCCCTTCCCCCCGCAACCAACAAAAAACCACCTCTGCCTGAACTGGGAGGTTAAAGGAAAGGGGGTCATAGGAGGTGGCGTTTTGTCACATCAATTTCCCCTCTTGATACGATCATCTTTGCCACTGTGGAAGTCTTCTGTTGATAGTTATTGACCAGCCCCACTGGTTGCCTGTCCAGAAGGAAAAACTGTGGAATTAGTGGGTAAGTGTGTTTATCCCCAGGGGTGGAAAAAAGAAGAAAAAGCCAAGGGACAGTCCCTCCCAGATGTAGCCATATGGCCATCTTTGGAAAGTACCAGCAGGTGTTTCATGTGTTGTTTAATGTTTTTGTTCTCCTTTTCCATATTCCAAAAGACATTTGAAGCTAAAATTCACCACCTGGAGACCAGGCTTAGCCGAAAGCCCCGTGAAGGGAATGCTGAACTGGAGTACTTTGTGCGCTGTGAAGTCCACAGCTCTGACCTGAATACTTTCCTTAGCTCCATCAAGAGGGTAGCAGAAGACGTGAGGACCACTAAGGAAGACAAATGTAAGGAACTTACAAACTGTTTCACTTTTGCAGAGAGGCTGAGCTGTAGAAACAGGGTGGAGACTTTGTTATTCCCAGAAAAGGGGAAGGGCTACTGTATGCTGAATTTGAGCAAAACAGAAAAGACTGCCTCTGGGACACCTGAATCCTGAAAGCTACTTCCCTCTTGTCCATTTCTCAACAGACTCCAGAGTCCATAGCCCATTATTCTGGTGCCAAATTGAAAAAATAAAAATAGGGGATGAAAGTTCATGCTTTGTTCACACCTCTCCTACAGAGTTCTCCATCCCTACTCCAGTGTTTTATATTATAAAGATAAAGCAGTTTCCTACCTATGTGTCAGGAACTCTGTACAGATCCAGCACTAAACTACAAGACACTCCCCACGCCATCCTGTTCTGAAGACAGGGTGATTCTTATTGTAATACATCCCTAGAGATCTGCAGTGATTGCTCTATAACCAGTTGGACCTCTGGATTTGGTTTTAATGTGAAGTCTGGAATCTTTAGGTAAAATCCAGTTTTTACTTGTTTTACTTTTTCTTGTTTACTTTTGTCATAAAATACTCTGCTGAGAGATGGGCAGGGAAGTAATGAGATGCAGATCATGGCATTAGATCTGACTCTAGGACAAGAGCACTGACTGTGTAGGACCACTGCCCGGAAGGCACAGCTGTGTCATGTGCTGTTTGTTGTGTGTGTGCATTTGGTACACCAGGCCAGATGTATCTTATTCAACCTCACAACCTCTTCTGGTACACCAGGCCAGATGTGTCTTACTCAACCTCACAACCTCTTCTCAGCCGGGGATGCTCCATCTTCACTTCCACAGCCAGTTTTTCTCTTTCTCTCTCCCCACAGTTCACTGGTTTCCCAGAAAAATCTGTGAATTGGACAAGTGCCACCATTTAGTCACCAAGTTTGACCCTGACTTGGATCTGGATCACCCGGTGAGTTAATCTGTGTGGGCACATGCTCACGTTAGAGTCCTGAGCCTTCCCTCAGAAGCAGGGAGTTGGAGAACACCTGCTGATCAGGGTGCAGCTGATCAGGGAACTGTAGTACAATCACCACCACGAGAGAAGTTTTTCCGGCCAGTGATGAACTTTGTTGGGTGAGAAATTTTAGTAACTGATTAAAAATCCTGTCTCTGTTCCTATTTGTCATCACAGGGCTACTCTGACCAAGTATATCGCCAGAGAAGGAAATCAATAGCAGAAATTGCTTTTCACTATAAGCAGTAAGTCTCTTTCCTAGCATCCATGCAGGGATAATGCCATGTCAATGCAGCCTGTTGGGAAGTTATTGTGCTACCTGCATGAGACTTCTTTTATGTTTTCTCTCCCCATTCAGCCTGGCCAGCTCTTTTTGTGTCTTTCTTCTCTTTATGTATTCCAGTCTCTTCTTAATTAAAAAATGTCTGTCATCATTAATTCATACATTGATAAAGCCAGAATAAACCTCCTGCATAACAAAAGACACATATAATTCCATCAGACCTCAAATTTCATTTTGAAATGTAGCATCTCTTTTAGAATGACATCTAGTTTCAACTTCGGTGTTTCAAGTACTGAAAAAGCTACCACATGCCCAGAAAGCTTGTTCCAATGGTTCATTATCCTGGCCGTGAAAAAATGTGGGTTTTATTTCTAAACTGAACTTTGGTAGCTTTAGCTTTCACCCAATGGATAATACACGCCTTTCATCTGCTAGATTGAATTCTGCTGTCAGATTTTTTTTTTTGCTATGAGGGTATTTATAGACTAAAAGGTTCATATCCTAACTGTCTCCAATAAATTAAATAGATTCCAGTAATGGTCTCATCATTGACTTTTATAGATTTAAGACTATCTCTTGTACTCCTACTTAATACTCCTGTTGTGATATATACAGTGATAGCACTCATCCTGTTCACTACAACTTCAAACAGAGCTCTAATATTCACTTGGGTTTGTAAAATATTCCCTAGATCCTATTCAGTAACACTGCCTTCAACTGCAGCAGCTCCCTCTCCGAGCAGGCCTTTAAATGTAGATTTCCGTAGCGAGCTGTGCAGAAAGCAGGCTATGGAAATTATATGGGTCAACTTCTTGAGCTATCCCTGCAACCAATGTGATCCCAGCATGGCTTTCTGCTCTGTTAGGTTTCATGTTCTTTGCAGATTTGAAGCCCAGAATATAGACATTGATGTTTTTATCCTGTACTAATACTAAATGCACAGAAAGTCACTGTGCGAGCAGTGAGGGATACAGGAAGAAATACTGTCCTAAGATGATGCACCCATTTAAGATGTCTTCTCTCACATCTCATCTGCACGTTAGCATTTATGAGCCACTGTGTAGCATCCCTTCAGGCTGTTAATGGAAAAGGAACTATGCTTTATTGCTGTAATATGTGAATATCTCATTTGTTCAAATACAGAACAGAAGGATTTAGGAAATACAATTGCTAATTATGATGCAGAAAAGGCAAAAGTGTCAGTCTTCTTTAGTTCCCAGTTATGTCAATGTTGAGCTATTCCTTTCTTGCTGTCCTTACTGACAACACATTTTTCTGCAGTTCAAATGCATTTAGTTTTCCTTATTAGCTGCTTTTATTTCCCAGCCACTGATTCATTCTTGGAGCCATCAGTCCCCTGAAGTTCAGGAACATAAAATTAATTTATTTTCATGCAAAGTTTCAATTTTTTTCCAGTGAAAACCATTTTTTTTTTTCCCCTGGGAAATAGTATTCCTGCTAAGCTTTTGCTCATCCCTTGTGCATTTATAACCTCTGGCTAGACTAATGTTTTTCTCTGTGTCTATGTATTTGTTGCGCCTGCACAAATGACCCAGTACTAAGGCTTTGTCTTTCCTGTCACCCCCTTGTTTGCTTTAGAGTAGATTGATCAACATTATGCAGAGCTTCTCCAAAGTGCTTCCTTCTGAAAGGGAAGAGAAGCCTGGCTTGTGCTCTGCTGCTGTCAGTAACAGTGCATTTGCCTTGCAGTGGGGACCCAATCCCTCATGTGGAGTACACAGCGGAGGAGATCGCTACCTGGTGAGCGCTGATTTAATCTGTGACCTTTATTGGCTTCACCACTAGAAGCCGGGAATCAAACCCTAAATGGTTAGGGCATGACCTCTTGAAGAATGTATCAGGAGTGCAAGCATCCTACTTAATGGCTTGTTATAAAAAACAGTAACTCATTGCACGGCATTTTATGGTAGGGACTGCATTTGGGAGAGCAAGCTACCTCCAAAACAGTGATGCTCTATCTGTCCTCTCTTGGGGCTGCACCAAGACCACTTGCACACTGCAGCCCCCAGGGGTTTCCTCCAAAGGAGCCTCCCCAGAGAGCAAGGTAGATAATTTGGAGTCCCACTTCTCTAAGGGGACCTGGCTTAGTAGCAGCCTCCAAACAAAGGGCAGTTATCATAGCTGCAGAAAGAAGTATGAGGCCGATGGTGATTATCTGCACTGTACCTCGCTGGCCTCACGTAGGAAAACGCTTCCTTTGAACATGATTATTTCCAGGAGTGTCACTGCAGGAGTGTCCCTGAAAACAAGGCCAGCTCATACGAGCTGAGTACACAGGCTCCTAAACAAGGTTATCTCCTGATTATATTGACTGCCTTCATAGTGCAACTTCAGGAGCTAACCTACAGGGAATATTTTAATTCCAGTTAATACCTTTTATACAGTCTTCTGACCTTCAAGGTCAGGAATAGGTCTGTGCAGATACAACTGCTGACTTCGCAGGCTCATTTGAATGTGTGTCTGTATGTTTACATACCCCTATCAATGTGCACAGACATAGACTTAGTGGTGGAGAAAGGCAAAAGGACAAGAAACCTACAGGTGTGGGTCCTTGATAGTGTATAACCAGCGGACGTGAGAGGACTACATGCATCAAGCCACTGAATGTCTGCCACCTCTTGTCCTGAAGGAAGGAGGTGTACAGCACCCTGAAGAGCCTGTACCCCACTCATGCCTGCAAGGAGTACCTCGAAGCTTTCAATCTACTGGAGAAATTCTGTGGCTACAATGAGAACAACATCCCTCAGCTGGAGGAGGTCTCGCGCTTCCTGAAAGGTGGGTCTGAGCCTGGGGGATCCAGGCCCAAGGTCTGCCAGTGCTCCAGTACGGTGGTGGCAGCTACAGCTGGGAAACCCTAACCAAATGGAGGAGTGTGTGAGCTGAGATCTGGGAGGAGAGCTGGTGGAGGCTTGTGCATTGCCTACAGAGGACAGAGGTAGACCTCAGGCGGTGGGGCCTGCAGCTAAACACAGTGGGCTGCAACTGAAGGTCAAGTCCATAGTCAAATGATCCCACTGAACACCTAAAGAGTAGATGTTGCTCCCTAATAGAAGGAAAAAGATTAGGCTTGGCACAGCAGAAGTCCTTTAGTTTCCAGCACTGATGCTTTTGCTGTCTGTGCTGGGAACATGGGACGCCAGCACAGCCCGTGGGCCATGCACTCCCGCAGAGACAGTATGCGCTGTTTCAGAGAGGACCGGCTTCCAGCTCCGGCCGGTGGCTGGCTTGCTGTCAGCACGGGACTTCCTTGCCAGCCTGGCCTTCCGCGTCTTCCAGTGCACGCAGTATATCCGCCACGCGTCCTCGCCCATGCACTCCCCCGAGCCGTGAGTATCGCCCAACCCCGATGGCCTCCCCTGCCCAGACATCCCGCCTGGCCAGCAATTAATCTTTCTCCCTAATGGACAAACTGTCCGTTGCTGACCGCATTTTCCTCCTTTCCCCCGGGCATCGGCAGAGATTGCTGTCATGAGCTGCTGGGGCACGTCCCGATGCTGGCTGACAAGACGTTTGCCCAGTTCTCTCAGGTAAGGCGGTCGTCTGCTTCCTCGCCCCCAGAGGGCAGGGCACAAGGTGGGAACCCAAACCAACCCCAGTCTCACCACCTAAGCCCTTCTTGTTCCAGGATTTATTTATATTAAACATGATGTTCAGGAGCCCTAGTGATGGACCAAGAACCCTAATACACAGTAAAAATGTCAGACTGTGCAGCAAAGCATTTTTAGTCAGAGCACGATGAAGCCCCAGCAGATGCATGGCAGCACGGGGCAACTATATCTGTTGTCTCAAGGCAATAAAACAGAGCAATCCATGCATAAGGCCCTCAGGCCAAATCTGTCTTGATGTTCATCCCTTCCCTTCTCTTCCCAGGACATTGGGCTGGCGTCTCTGGGAGCAACTGATGAAGAAATTGAGAAGCTCGCAACGGTAAGTTTTCCTCTTTGCTGGAGGGGGCCCCGACCCCTCCAGCAGCAGTTCTGCATTACTGGGGGACTGGTCCAGCCTGCTCTCTCCAGATTTGCAGGCTCACAGCCCCCAGCTCAGACCCAAGTTGCCACAGCCCTGCTCTTTCATGACTGTGCAGAGTGGAGGTCAGTTAAACAGCAGAGCTCACTTGCACATTAACCCAATTTTCTCGGGCACCAGAGTATCATCAAGCATCGTATTTCTAATGACAGCACTGCTGGGACTCTTTGGAATGGGATTAAATGACATCCACTTCCGTTGCCTCTCCCTTGGCAAGGAGACCTGTCCTGCTCCAAGGGCACTGAACAGCAGCACCACGCAGCAGCCGGGCACGCAGGGGACCAGCCCAGGAACACAGTTTCCATCTGTCCTGGCCTGGCAGCAGCTTAGTTTAGCACTTTCCTTTGGCAGCAATGGGTGCAGGGTAAGGAGATGGGACAAAGTGCCAGGCACCTGTTCGTTTAAACAACCCCAGTCCCCAGCCATCATGCAAGGGCTCAGAACTGACAAAGAGATGAAGAGCTGTGTCCCCTATGCATGTTTCTTTCTCCTTTCACAGCTTTACTGGTTTACGGTGGAGTTTGGGCTCTGCAGACAGAATGGGATAGTTAAAGCCTACGGAGCCGGGCTCCTGTCTTCCTACGGGGAGCTCATAGTAAGTCCCAGCATAACTTGCCTCTCTGCTCTAGACCCTGTACAGCACAAAACCTTTTTCCTCTGCACAGCCCCAATGACTTTACCTGATTTGTTCTCCACCTCTGTCTATCATATACATGTTCTCTGATCCCCTGAATTTCATGCTGGCATTTTTCTACTGTGTCCATAGCACTCCTTGTCAGATGAACCAGAAGTGCGGGACTTTGACCCCGATGCTGCTGCAGTTCAGCCCTACCAGGACCAGAACTATCAGCCTGTATATTTTGTGTCTGAGAGCTTCAGCGATGCCAAAAGTAAACTGAGGTGGGACTGGGCAGTGAGGGAGACCCAAACAGAAAGAAATTAATATATTGAAACAGAGCTTGACACCATGGCTGCTTTCAGTTCAAGGTCTCAGAAGTACCCTGGAAACTGTTGTCAGGTCTTTCAAAGTAAAGTGATTCTCCAGTTCCTACAGGGTCCAACTGCAGTCCCTTGAATTTGCCCAAAAGCCCCCCAGAAATATGCTGGACTCCAGGGCATGGGTATGGAGGAGTGGGATGGAGTGGGAGGCAGTCTTGGAGACAAGACTGAGGGAGCGAGAGAAGGGACAAATCTACCTCATCTGCCTAGTTCTTAGAAGGAATTACAGACTGTCTCCAGTTCCCAGGAGAGGCCAAGCAACATAAGAGAGGGCTGGTGGTCCAGAAACTGGGAACCCAAAGCGCCCGCCAGGACCCCCTCCACTTCCTTGCTGCAGAATGTCCAAGTGATAGAGGTCAGTTACCAGCTGTCCCTCATGGGAGCATCTTTCCAGCGTGTGTCCTTCTGAAACATGGGCTTCTGCATCATGTAGAAGTTTGCTTTGTGGGTGAAAGTTTTAGGAGAGGGGTGAAGAGCTGCTCAAAACAGTGGCATTCTCTGAATTTAGGATGCAGAAAGATGTTTGTCTTTCTGAGCAGCTGCTGGGCAACTTACTCATTTATCATTCAACCAGCAAAAAAACCCCCAGGCACCCTTAGTAGCTCATACACAAACAAAAAAGATTTGCTTGATGGGGATAGATTTATCCATAGAAAAAAGGGAACTTTTGCTTCCTAGGCAGGTTAACTTGGGTTAGCAGACCCCAGACAGCATCCCACTGGTATAACTGGGTTTCCTCATCCCATAGGACTGCAAACAGAATGGGGAGGGGGAGCTTTACCCATGGACATCTGTTCAGAAGAGCATTTTCTTGGCCATACCCAGAATTGCCCACAGGAGGAAAAAAAAAACAAAAAAGAAAACTTTGCCTATACCATTTTACCTTAGCTTAGGAAGGTGATAGGATGAGACGAAGTATTACACAATGTACATGACTCTGCAGTTCCTGCAAGTGGGGTATTTCGTATAAATAACATGGCAAGGACTGCTATATTTCAGCTTCTGCTTTTATTACCCTCACTTGCACCGTTCATAGAACTGGAGTTTAGTTGCTCAAAAGCAAACACATGGGGAGCCCATCCTCTCACACGCACTAGGCTGCTTTAAAAAAAAAGTGAACTATTGCCTAATGAGTCATTTCCTTGCATTTAAAAAGGAAAAATACACCACATACACAGCCAAGATTAGGCTAGAGGGTTTTGACAGTGACAAGTGCTGTAAATTATCCTCTTTAAAGAGCTGAAAGACCACACAGATGTTAGTCTATGAGGTGAAAAACATTAAAACATCTATATTTTTTGCATTACTGGCAGCTGCCACCATGAACCTGATTATCAGTGTTATCTCTCAAGAAAAGCCTCTATTCCCAGAAAGAAAACTTTCCACCAGTTTTCTAGGGTGGACACATGCCCCCAGTACCCTTCCAGGCATCCATGTTGTACTTGCATGCTTCAAAAGGTGTCAAGTGAACACCCCTGTATGGAGGGCAAGTTTCTAACCATTAGCAGCTGTGCTACAAGTCATCACTGTGGCTGACAGCATTAATAAGAAAGGTGAGCTGGCCCTTGCCTGGGAGAGCTGGGGGCACTGAGATAAGCTGCATCTTTTAGGAGGTGGGCAAAGTAAGTATGCAGAAAACCCTCTGTTTGTACTTGGTTTTGTTTCTCTGCAAGTGTGGCAGCTCCCTGCAAGTGCCAGCCTGTGGATTTGGCCATGTTGCTGCTTGGCCCTTTCTGGAGCTGGTGGTCTTTTCCCCAGACCCTAGCAATTCAGGACTAGGCTTCCCCACGGCATGCAGTACCAGCTGGAGGAGCATCTGACAAAAGGGATGCGCTTCCCCGAGCCCTGTGCCAGAGCAGACCTACGGTAGCCACAAGAGGGTACCCTAAGCTAAGCAATTCATGAGTTAAAGGGTGATTCTTCAGCAGAGGTGAGGAGCATGCCTGTTGCTAATGCTGTTTGCCCCTTCATCTTCCTAGTCCTTTCCAGCATGAGATTGTAGCCATGAGTACCTAAATATAGATTCCCAGCTCCATATTTACACAGCCATTAAAGAAAAAAAATACCCTACCTTGTCAAGTGTACAAATCATAGTGCTGGAGGTGAACATGAGCAACTTTAGGAAAACCTTACCCTTGGTTTGTTTTCACTTGACTGTATACTTCCCCATTAGAAAGGTAGCAACATGGTCTTGCTCTTGAGAGGGATCAAAGTCAGGCTTATCGCTGAGATCCAGTCTCCAGTTGGCTTTGGGTACAACAGTACAATGTTGCTCAGCCGCATGGCTTCGGTGAAGTTATTCCCATCCCCTCACCCAGGCCTGAGCCACTGCCTGTCAAATTTATCCTTAATATGGCTTGCAGCTCGTTCCCCCCTCCCCAAGCAGAGATTAATCAATAAATGCAAGTCAGAAAGGATTTGGGAATATAATACTATAATACCACAGGCTTTCCCTGCGATTAGCTTCTAAATCTCCTCGGTGTTTTTCAAAAAGAAATTGGAGTAGAGGATGCCTGGAGATGGCCATACAGGTGCCCAGTTCAGTGCACCCTCTTGTTTGATGCAAGCCCATGGAAACCTGCAGTCAAACTCACAATCTTCCTTGCTGAATAGGAGCGATCTCAACTACTGCTATAACCCTGTGGAACTGGAAGGGTGGGAAACCAGAGCTTTTGTGCTAACCTAGAAACTCTGCCTAAAAGAAGCATCAACCTGTTGTGATCTGGGTGAATGGTGATGGGTAGGAGGCAGATTCGGGACCCTTCTCTGGTACCAAGCCCTCTGTACCCTTTCCCTGCAGGAACTACGCGGCACACATCAAGCGGCCCTTCTCGGTGAAATACGAGCCCTACACCCACAGCATCGAGCTCCTGGACAGCCCTCAGACGATCTGTCACTCCCTGGAGAGTGTAAGGGATGAGCTTCACTCGCTGATTAATGCGCTCAATGTTATCAGTTAATACGAGAACCAGGCTCTTTCCTTCCCCTCTTCCCTTGCAGCCCCAAAGCCGCCCACTCTGCCCTCACCTAGCTGATAACTCCTACCTGTCTTCTCCAAACATTTGCACCGCTGCCTGTCACCACGCAACCCCAACAGCTTTCCACTTTTGTATGTAGGGCCAGCTCGGAGGAGGGCAGAGGGACGGACCCAAGACCTGCTGATGTTTTGGGTAGCTTTTCTGTTGAGTGCTGGAAGAGGCTTAACACACACCAAAAGCATGGCCAAGCTACGAAGTTGAAGTCAAGAGCTGTGTGCTAGGCTCCTGAGTGCAAGGAGGAGGAGAAAAGCTTCTTTATTTAAAAAAAAAACAAACCACAAACAACCCCCCCCCCAAAAAAAAAAACCAAAAAAAGAAGAGAAAAATCTATTTTTTGCAGTTTGAGACAATAAATTAATCTGGTTTTCTAGCCCCAGAGCAACTCCCATAGCAACTTCATGAGGGACCCTCAGTCCCCACCATCTCCTGCCTCTTATAGCCGTGTACATTTGGGAAATGCAGAGCTGCTCTAGAAGCTTTTCTGCCTGAACAAACCCTGTGAGGCTTGAAATTTCAGCTCCCAGCCTCCCCTCAAGTTCTCACACAGGGGGATGCCTAGGCATGAACCCCTGAGCTGCAGCACCCCACCAGGCTGCAAAAAGCATCATAGCTCCCATGAAACTCAAAATTGACCTAAGCCAGGAGTTGCCTGTCTCACATAGATCAGCCCTGATCTACCTGCATCCTCCCCAGCACAAGCACCACAAAGCAAGCCCTGGCCACCTCAGACCAGAGCATAGACACCCCCTTCAAGCCCTCTTTTAAAAGCTTCCACAGCAGGGAGTGCTCAAGAGCCCAGCTGCCATCCTTCACAGCGGATAGCAGTCACAGCTATTGATGTTCCTGTGTGCTGGTGGACCTGGGCAGCCTTGGCAGCCTCTTGGTGTTCTGAGTTTATTGGTTACAGAATGAGTGGGATCACTGATGTCCTGAGTTTGTCAGTCCTTGGGAGGATTTCACACATATTCACTTTCCCAGTCTATTATACAGGTACAGCATCATCTTGTTCTTAGATATCCCAATATCACTGTCACCTGATGTAGCTCAGGTGTGTGACTAATGTTATTGCTGGCCATTTCTGAGGAAGGTAACGTATGGTTATGATGCTCAAACCCAGTTTCATCCAGCTTTCACTGTAGATATTAATGGCTTGATCTGACCCAAAGCTCTCAGTTTTCCTCCCCCTGCTTTTGCCTTTCTTATCGTCTTGCAGACTGTCTCATAACTTAGCGGTTTGCTCAGAAGTTTGGCCCAAGGTTATGCAGCTGTGCAGTATCAGAGCTGGGCTTGGTATGTGTGGAGGTAGCTAAACAGCTGTGGGGGGCAATGAAGGGGAGAATTACACATAGTTGTTTGCATGGTCAGTTATAACATTTCTGTATAGATTTTTACCATCCTTATCCACTATATATGATTTTTATAATTTCCTCTTTAAAGAAATGCAAGGCTTAGCAGTCAAGTTTTGGCTATTTGGTGTAAGTATCCTACAATACTTATATGTGCCATTGCTCTCCAGTGTTACTTCTACTGGGCCTCAGTCATCAGAGTTTACAATCCATGACACTTTATCCCATTTCAGACCTTCATACACATATGCTTAACCCCCAGTTCTCTCAAATTTTAACTACTTAGCTACTGACAACACTTAGTCTCCCACCTGCTTCAATCTCTCCTTTCTGTTTCCTTTCTTATTTGACCCCGCCCCCTAAATTCCTCCTAAATTGCTTAAAAGGCCATTATTGATCAACGCTAGGGCTAGCCGCTTCTCCTCAAGTTGTTCCTCCTTGGGGGATTGTCCTGTAAATGAATAAAACTACTGAGTTCATTCAGTTATTGTAATTTTAGAGCACTTTTTCCAAAGCTTCATCTATGATTTCCCAATCTGGGTGGATCCAGATCTTGAGCTGTAAGTCTCAAGGCTCTCTTAAGAGCTGTAACAGTTTTTAATTTGGGGTCTTAAGTTATTACTATTATATTAAGTAGCTGGAGCAAGCTATGCAAGAGTAAGGCAGGTTAGGTCATAAGTTAGCTGTCTAGCCATGAAAATCTCATTGATGACTCCAGTAAAACAGACTAAAATAAAATAACACTCCAAACAGGCAAGATGTAACAATGAAACCTGTATAGTTAAGGCACAGCTTATGGCCTTGCTAGCAATAGCAATGCCATGTTGCTGGCCTGCAGATCACTGTTCCTCCTCTCCTTTGGTAGTCTCCAGCTCCTGGATTACTGCCTGCGAGTGCAGCAAGGATGCTGCAAATGCTGCAGCGACACCAGTCTCCTGATCAGGACCGAGCAGGGAGTCTCTGTGGAGGTGTTTGTTTTCTGGTCTGGCCTTGAAACTCATAAAGGTCTGAAGGTGGTCACCTCTAGTTCTCCAAAGCACCTTACAGTCATTATCTGCCTTGTTAAATCTCTCAAATTAATGCAATTTATAAAAAGACCAAAGCTATTAATATGGAGTGAAAAGCCAAGTTAAAAATCCTTGCAACTGCAGGAGCCCTCAACTCCTCTGCCTTGCCTCGGAGTTTGCATTGCTGCTCTGTGACTCTGTCAGCTGTTGCTTGTTCAAGGAGCTGTAGTAAAATCTGTTGCCCTACAAAAATAGAAAATAAGCAAAACTCGAAGCATAAACTAGCCCTGTTAGTATGCAAGCATAAAAACAGACCTACTGCAGCCATGCAGGAAGTAAATACTATGCGGGCTGCAGCCCTTTGCTTCTGAGAGACGAGGTTGTGCTGTGAGTGTGGGGGCTCAGGCTGAACAGGCGCCCAAGGTTCCTCTTTGGAGCGTTTTCTGTGTCTGTGTTCTTGACAAATTAATGACAGATTCCAGAATTTTTTTGCCCCGTAGGGGGACATCTGAGAAACATGAACCCATTTGTATTTATCATTGCCCTCATCTATTTAATATCTTAGAGGATTTATCCTATTAGTAACATAATAGGTCCCCTTCCATTTTGTCTCTAAGGCTTGTTCTTTTTAATCTGTTTTCAGATAACTTGGCCCCATATTTCTTGAGCCATATATGAATTGGATTCTTCCTTTCTCATTTTAACTATTTTTCTCATGTTGCTGCTTCTACCTGAGCCTTGTTTTCTTCTTCATCCTTCAATAATATTTTAGGGTCTTGGACATGAGACCACCAAGGAATGGGCTACACAAACAAAATATTTTAGGGCTGTAAACCAGTCCCTAATTTGTCACTGCTTCTTAAAGCTACTAATATTGAGGTTAACTTTTCAGCCCATCATTTTGGATATTGTCCTACAATTTTCTTTAGTCTATTTTTAATAGTCTGACTAATTTCTTTCTACCAGTCTGGAGGATTGCAGGTGGTAGGGTATATGCAGTCCTTGCTTAATCCCCAGGTTACTCATTAAGACTCAAGTTACTTCACTTACAAAGCCCCCTCCTCCATCTCATCCTACATCAGCTGATGTTCCATATCTATGGATAGTTTCCTTTAACAGCATTTTTACAGTTCCAGGGGTTATTCCTTTTAGGTGGAAGAGCCTCAACCTATCCTGGAAAGATATTCATGGTGACAAAGAGATACCGATACCCTTCTTTAATGTGTGACAGTTTATCTGGATGATTCCTTCACAGTATTTGCCAAGGTCCTTGGTTTAGCCAGTATAGTAGAGTTGGCAGCTTTCTTTTACTAGTTCACTTCTGCATCACTGCACACCTTATGCAATTTTTATTTATGTTCTCTCTATCTTGCTTCATTTGGGGCCAACAGAAATTCTTTGCACTCTAAAAAGAGTACCTTGTACTCCTTTATGTAACTTATTATGACAGTCTAAGATGACTTGCTCTCATTCAGCTGGCCACAGTATCCATCCCATCTTCTCTTTTAGCTGATTCCTGGTTGGGGCTGCAATAAACAAACTCTGAGTCAATTTGTCTACTTGCTCACTAAATTGTTTCTCAGTATTGCTTTCAGTCTTCCCATGTACTTTAAAATCCTTTACATATATTTTATTCCCACTCTGCTTCTAAGCTTCCAAAATAAACCTTCTGTTTTCCTCATGGTGTCCTGTTATATGCTTGCCATCGCCTTTCTCCCTATCATGCATCCAGTATTTTATTCTATTAGTGGCTATCTGTAGAGAGATATTGTGCAGAGGGGTTTATGTCTTTTACTGGCAGCCTGTAAGCTCCTTGGCATGATCCTTTCTCTAGTTTCCCCACTATTTTTTCCCCTCATTCCACTAATTGCAGTATCTTGGATTATTTTTCCTCCTTGTTCAAATTTAGCGCTCCCATGGGTGCACAATACCTTTGGTTTATTACCGGTTTCCTTTAAAAGGATATCCACATTAATATCCATTTTTTCTCTTTGTGCTTAAGAGCAGAGCATGAGAAGACTGGGGTATGTCTGGACTATCGAGGGTGAAAGCCTCGAAGACCATTACAGCCCAGACTGCCTTGAACCAGGCTTTCTAATAGCCAGGGAAATTTTGGTCCAGCCTCTGTGGAGGGGAGGACTCGTATGCTACTGGTATCCATTTTCCTTCACTATTTTTCTGTAACAGTACTGCTCCCACAGAATCAGCTCATGATGAAATCCTTATTACAAATAACTTCCCTTTGACTGGGAATTTTAGTGCAGGAGCTTCTCAAGCAGCTTCTTTCATGTTAGATAAAGCATCGTCTTGCTCTTTGCTCCAGCTCCCTTCCTGATTCTTTTTCTGTTGTTTCCATAATGCTCTGCTGGTACTAGCAAAGATGGATATGCTGCCATAAGATACTAGCGCAGTTATAGATATGCTGCCATACAAATTAAATCCTCCCAGCAACTCTTCAGGGTTGGGACTGATTAGTGGGAGTCTTTATTTCATAGAAAGCTTAACCTTTCTAGCATCTATCCATCTTCTTGTTTCACCAGTTCCAATTCCCAAGCGGTTAACCTGGGTTGCATTAATTGTGCCGTACTCAAATTGACTTTAAATCCCATTTGGTCTATTAATTTTAAAACTCAGCTACTTCTTTCTTGTACCTCTTCTCCTGTAGCTGTGGTCCCCCGAATACCATCCACATAAGACAATTTCTTTTCTTTGTTCCC